TGGATCAGAGGCACCGTTCTCCTCACAAACGTCCAGAGCGGGAGAATCATTCCCGCTCTGAGCAGGCCTGCTGTCGGTGTCTGCACCGCGGTCCTGTCCTGGATCTGGAAAAGAAAGAGCATGGTCAGAGCTGAGGGGCTGCAGGAGAGGCCAGAGAACACAGCCCAGCCCTGTGCTCCACAGGCAGGGCCAGCCCCGGGATGCCCAGTGCATGGAGCTGCCAGAGATCAGCCTGGGCCCTCTTCCCTCCTCCCTTTCCCTGGCCATTTCCACAGGGAATGAGATGGGAAGAGGTCCATCTGGCTGCAGCCTCCAGCCCTGTGACCCAGCTGTGCCACTCACCCTCCTCCAGGGGCTGGCACTGCTCCACCTCTTCAGGCTGCTGTGCAGGGGCAGCTCCAGGGCCTTCATCCTCATCCCCCTCCTCCTTCACCCAGGCCACCTCTAGCACGCTGGGAGGTCTCTGCTCCATGCCTCTGTCTTCCTCTGAGGCTTCCTGCAGTAGATATGGCACAGAAAAGTTCTGGGTCACCAAGTCCTGCAGTCGTGCCTTGAAGGCTCCTGCAACAGACTTGGGACCTCTCTGGTCCATCAAGTCCCATGCTCTGGCCTCGAGGGCACCTGCCCCAGGGACTGAGATGCCTTGGAAAAGCTCCAGTTCACCAAGTCCCATCTCTGGCCTGAAGGGGACACGTGGGAGAGTGGCCAGAAGGAGTAACTTGCCCAGTTTCCCCGAGAAGTGCTTCCCTTCCCACCACACTATGCTGGCCTCAAAGGTTGAGAAGGCCCAGGGGAGCTGGCTAGAGGGGCCACACCATCCCTGGGGGCTTGAGCCCTGACCACAGGCTGCTTACTTCCTTTGGATCAGAGACACCGTTCTCCCCAGAAACATCCGAGGCGGGAGAATCATTCCCGCTCTGAGCAGGCCTGCTGTCGGTGTCTGCAGCACTGTCCTGGTCTGGATCTGGCAAAGAACGAGCACAGTCAGAGCTGAGGGGCTGCAGGAGAGGCCAGAGAACACAGTCCAGCCCTGTGCTCCACAGGCAGGGCCAGTCCCGGGATGCCCAGTGCATGGAGCTGCGGAAGATCAGCTCGGGCCCTCTTCCCCCTCCCTTTCACTGGCCATGTCCATACGGAATAGGATGGGGTGAGGCCCATCCAGCTGCAGCCACCAGCCCTGTGGCCCAGCTGTGCCACTCACCCTCCTGCAGGGGCTGGCACTGCTCCACCTCCTCAGGCTGCTGTGCAGGGGCGGCTCCAGGGCCTTCCTCCTCATCCCCCTCTTTCACCCAAGCCACCTCTAGCATGCTGGGAGGACTCTGCTCCATGCCTCTGTCTTGCTCCATGTCTTCCTGTAGTAGATATGGCACAGAAAATTCTGGGTCAGCAAGTCCTGCAGTCGTGCCTTTAAGGCTCCTGCAGCAGAAGACTTGGGAACTCTATGGCCCATCAAGTCCCATGGTCTGGCCTCGAGGGCACCTGCCCCAAGGACTGAGCTGCCTTGGAAAAGCTCCAGTTCAACAAGTCCCACTCTCTGGCCTAGAGGGGGCACGTGGGAGGGCAGCCAGACGGAGCAATTTGCCCAGTTTCCCCCGAGAAGTGCTTCCCTTCCCACCACGCTGTGCTGGTCCCAAAGGCTGAGAGGGCCCCGGGGAGGTGGCAAGGGTGCCACACCATCCCTTGGGGCTTGAGCCCTGGCCACAGGCTGCTTACTTGTTTTGGATCAGAGACATCGTTCTCCTCGGAGAAATCATTCTCCTCAGGAACATCCGGAGCAGGAGCATCATTCCCGCTCTGAGCAGGCCAGCTGTCGGTGTCTGCACCGCGGTCCTGTCCTGGATCTGGCAAACAGTGAGCACGGTCAGAGCTGAGGGGCTGCAGGAGAGGCCAGAGAACACAGCCCAGCCCTGTGCTCCACAGGCAGGGCCAGCCCCGGGATGCCCAGTGCATGGAGCTGCCAGGGATCAGCCCCGGGCCCTCTTCCCCCTCACTTTCCCTGGCCATGTCCACACAGAATGGGATGGGATGAGGCCCATCTGGTTGCAGCCACCAGCCCTGTGGCCCAGCTGTGCCACTCACCCTCCTGCAGGGGCTGGCACTGCTCCACCTCTTCAGGCTGCTCTGCAGGGGCAACTCCAGGGCCTTCCTCCTCATCCCCCTCCTTCACCCAGGCCACCTGGGGGACGCTGGGAGGTCTCTCCTCCATGCCTCTCTCTGGCTCCGTGGCTTCCTGCAGGAGACATGGCACAGAAAATTCTGGGTCACCAAGTCCTGCAGTTGTGCTTTGAAGGCTCCTGCAACAGAAGACTTGGGACCTCTCTGGTCCATCAAGTCCCATGCTCTGGCCTCGAGGGCACTGCCTTGGAAAAGCTCCAGTTCAACAAGTCCCACTCACTGACCTGGAGGGGGCACATGGGGAGGGCAACCAGAAGGAGCAATTTGCCCACTGTCCCCCGAGAAGTGCTTCCCTTCCCACCACACTCTGCTGGCCTCAAAGGCTGAGGGGCCCAGCAGACCCAGCTTGAGGGGCCACACAGTCCCTGCCCGCAGGCTGCTTACTTGAGCAGAGACAGCTCCGTCCCCAAGAACGTCCAGACTGGGGGCATCGAGCAGGCACTGAACGGGTGTGCTCTCAGCGTCTGCGATGCCCTCAGTGGTTGCCCCGTCAGCCTCCGTGGTGAGCTCAGGCAGCGCCGTGCTGGAGTCTGTCCTGTCATCGGTCACCGCGCTGTCACAGTTTGCTGTGCCGTCAGTCGACGCGGTGCCGACATCAGGGTCTGGCTTGAGCTCACTCGGCGTGGGGTCCAGTTGTGCCATGACCTCAGCTGGAACGATCCTGGCCTTTCTACGCCGAATTCCCAAGAATGTCAGAAAGGCCTGCAGGAGAACGAAGAGCAGGGGAGAGAGGGTTGTGCCCTGGAGAGCTCTGACAGCAGTGCCAGGCTGAGCAGTGACAGCAGGCCCAGCCCAGGAGGTGATGGCTGCAGGTACCTGTGCTGCCATGCGGAAGCGTCCATGGGCACCGTTGTGCTCTTGTGTCCGGTCCCGTCCTGGATCTGGCAAAGAGCGAGCACAGTCAGAGCTGAGGGGCTGCAGGAGAGGCCAGAGAACACAGCCCAGCCCTGCGCTCCACAGGCAGGGCCAGCCCCGGGATGCCCAGTGCATGGAGCTGCTGGGGGATCAGCCCGGGCCCTCTTCCCCCTCCCTTTCCCTGGCCATGTCTGCAGGGGTGGGATGGGGTGAGGCCCATCTGGCTGCAACCACCAGCCCTGTGGCCCAGCTCTGCCACTCACCCTCCTGCAGGGGCTGGCACTGCTCTGCCTCCTCAGGCTGCTGTGCTGGGGCAGTCCCAGGGCTTTCCTCCTCATCCTCCGCCACCCAGGCCTGCTTGGGCACCCTGGGGGGTCTCTGCTCCATGTCTCTGTTTGTCTCCTTGGCTTCCTGCAGGAGACATGGCACAGAAAAGCTCTGGGTCACCAAGTCCTGCAGTTGTGCCTTGAAGGCTCCTGCAACAGAAGACTTGGGAACTCTCACGCCCATCAAGTCCCATGCTCTGGCCTCGAGGGCACCTGCCCCAGGGACTGAGCTGCCTTGGAAAAGCTCCAGTTCAACAAGTCCCACTCTCTGGCCTGGAGGGGGCACATGGGGAGGGCAACCAGAAGGAGCAATTTGCCCACTGTCCCCCGAGAAGTGCTTCCCTTCCCACCACACTCTGCTGGCCTCAAAGGCTGAGGGGCCCAGCAGACCCAGCTTGAGGGGCCACACAATCCCTGCCCACAGGCTGCTTACTTGAGCAGAGACAGCTCCGTCCCCAAGAACATCCAGACTGGGGGCATCGAGCAGGCACTGAACGGGTGTGCTCTCAGTGTCTGCGATGCCCTCAGTGGTTGCCCCGTCAGCCTCCGTGGGGAGCTCAGGCAGCGCCGTGCTGGAGTCTGTCCCGTCATCGGTCACCGCGCTGTCACAGTTTGCTGTGCCGTCAGTCGACGCGGTGCCGACATCAGGGTCTGGCTTGAGCTCACTCGGCACGGGGTCCAGTTGTGCCATGACCTCAGCTGGCGTGATCCTGGCCTTTCTACGCCGAATGGCTAGGGATGTCAGACAAGCCTGCAGGAGAACGAAGGGCAGGGAAGAGAGGGATGGGTCATGGAGAGCTCTGACAGCAGGGCCAGGCTGAGCAGTGACAGCAGGCCCAGCCCAGGAGGTGATGGCTGCAGGTACCTGAGCTGCCCTGTGGAAGCGTCCATGGGCACGGTCTTGTGTCCGGTCCCGTCCTGGATCTGGCAAAGAGTGAGCACGGTCAGAGCTGAGGGACTGCAGGAGAGGCCAGAGAACACAGCCCAGCCCTGTGCTCCACAAACAGGGCCAGCCCCGGGATGCCCAGTGCATGGAGCTGCTGGGGATCAACCCCGGGCCCTCTTCCCCATCCCTTTCCTTGGCCATGTCCACACGGAATGGGATAGGAAGAGCCCCATTTGGTTGTAGCCACCAGCCCTGTGGCCCAGCTGTGCCACTCACCCTCCTGCAGGGGC